TCCCTCCCCCATGTTCCTCGCCATCATCATCACATTCAACACTGTTCCTCAGCCTCCTCCCCCATCCGCTTGAGCAGCGTAGGCAGATGAAGTTTCCTGGTCGGACCCGCTCATTCTCCAGATGGGGTGCGGCTGCAGCATCTTGCGCCGTGCTGCAGGCTTGCGGCGTGTGGGGGAGGCGCAAAGAGCAGGGGCAACAAATGCACCGATTAGGGCGTACCGGCGCGGACTTTCGGGAGAACAGCGCGGGGATTCACAATCCCATCCTCGGTATTCAGTGGGCAGTGAGAAGAGGGTGGGAAAAGAGGGGCTGGTGGGTGCCTGGGGAGACAGGGATAAAACCATTCTGAGGGTGGGTAAGGTTGAAGGAGCAAGAGGAGGCTGAGGAGGAGGACGAGGAGGAGAAGGAGGAGGAGGAAAGGGTGACGACCAGGGCAAACATGCGGATGAGGATGAGGATTGTTCAGGGAAGAGTAGGAGGATGTTGCGGAGGCTGCACCTATGCGCGTGCATTTTCTTACCATATTGCCCCTTCTCTTATGCTGTGGGACATTGTGGAACTTCCTTGTATGGTGTTGTGGTAATGTTTGAACGGCGCGTTCAAACGTTGAGCGCCGCAGTGACGCAGTGCCGCCATTGAAGTGCCATTAGGAGTCAGGTCTGCAGCAATGTGCTCAATCATTTGTGTTGTATGTGTTCGTGTCGTATGCCGGACCGCCAAACCTCATGATGACGACCGCCGACAGTCCTGGTTCACCAACGGCTTGCCTCTCCAGTGGATCACGGCGTTGCCCCTTCTTCGACGGCCTGGACTGACCGTACACCCGTGGGTGCATTGGACTCCGGTGCCTGAGGCCGCCTGTACTATCTTCGTGGCGAAGATTGTCAACGCCTGAGGCCTCCTCCCGCTTCCCTCCGCCGCGGCCGCCTCCTTCGCCCAGTTTCTCTGTGTGTGTGTGTGCCAGTGGTCCTGGCGCGGCCCGCTGGCTACCAGAACGCGATGTGCGCTCGCCCTCGCCGCTTATCCAAGTGTCTTCGTGGCGTTAGCTCACGGTGTGCGTTGTTCGTTCTGAAGTCATCTGATTTGCCTGCAGAGCGCGTTTTCGGCCGTCACCGCTCCACCATTTTTGGGACTCGATTGCTCACCGAATGTTTGATTTATTCGGAGGTTGGGGTGTGAGACCGAAGTGAAGCCTGAGGTGCTCCAACCAGGACCTCGATTTCGGTTTCGGTTCGAGCCGTGCGTGGAGCGCGCGCGTGCGGACGAGGCGAAGTTGCGCGAGTTCGTCGTCTAGTACAGGCCAAGTCAGACGAAGATGAGTCGCGCCCGCGGCGGCCGTGGCGCGGTGTTGTCCCGGTATGCTTTCCCGACAGCTGTCCCGATGGATGTATGGACGGTTGTCTCGTTGTTTGTCTTGCTGGTTGTCCCGATTGTTGTCCCGATATGTGTCCCGATGGTTGTCCTGGTGGTTGTCCTGATGGTTGTCCCGATGGTTGTTCCGATTGTCGTCGTGATGGTTGTCCCGATGATTGCCCAGATGGTTGTCGCGGCCTGCCCAGATCCCTCGCGGCTTCCTGCCGGGCAGGCGCTACTCCAGCGGCGGCAGGCTGGGGGCTCTTGAGCGCTTTCGTGTTCGTCTTGGGGTGGCTTCGTCACAGGTGCGGCGACCGCCGCCGTCTGCTTCGGGGGCCTGACCTGCTCGCGCAAGCTCATCGGCTGCTGCCAGCGCCGCTCCGACCATGGCGTCGCCGCTCCAGTCGACTCTGAGGCCCTGGTTTGTATCTACGGTACGAGGGTGAGAACTTGTGGCGCCAACGCGCCAATGTCAGGATGCCGGCCTCATCGTCGACTCAGGCGATTGACCCCGGCGAGGTCATTGGAGTTTCGCCGAACCGAGACCCTGGGCGGATTGACCTTTCTGGCAGATCGAGAGACATCGAGGCATGGCGCTGGCCCGATGCGTTCCGGCTGCAGCCAGCGGGGAGGCATCGAGGCATGGCGCTGGCCCGATGCGTTCCGGCTGCAGCCAGCGGGCGCCCCCGCGAACCGCTTGCGCGGGTTCCGCCGCGAGCCGAGGCCAGCAGAGGTGGCGCAGATCCTCGCCGACGCAGCGGCCTTCTGCAGCGCGGAGTACCTCGCCCGGGAGACAGCGGCAGGCCAACCAACTGAACGCTGGGGCCAGCCCTGGGCGGTGGGCCGCCTGCCGCTGGCGCCCCCGCGGCGTCAGCCGCTGTCAGCGGGCGCTGGCCCAGGCGCAGCGGCTCTGGCCCCAGTGGGCGGCGCAGCCGCGCTGGCCCTGGCGCCGCGGGGGCGCTGGCCGGCCGCCGCTCTGTCGGCGCCCGCCGTGGCAGCCGCCCCGGCCGCGGCGGCCCCTGCGGCGGCCCCATGACGCCTGCCGCCCCTGCCCGCGCGTTATTCGCGACCGTGGAGAGCACGTCGTTCGGCCCGCGCGCTACATCTGTGCTGCCGAACGGCCGCGAGAATATGATTGGCGACATCGGGGTGCACGTCGGCCCGATGCACGGGGCCCTGCTGGCGCTTTGGATGATGTCCGACACGATCTTCGACTTCAAAGGGCCGCGAGGCGCCGGGCGACGTCCGCCTGCTCGCCGTCATCTCAGTCAATGGCGTCCGCACCTGGCGGCCATGACGCGAGGCAGTCGCGGCCCTCTCCGAGATCCCCATGCCAGATTGGGGCCCTGAGGGCCCGCGCGCTACCCCGCGGTGCCGTCGGTGGATCGACCGCCGCGGTGGCGGGCCCCTGCGCCATCGCCACCTTCGTCATGATCCTCCGCCTCGCGAAGGACTCCTGGGGCGGCGGCGCGAAGGCGCTCGAATCGCTCGGCTCCCATGACGGGCTGGTCCTGCCCAGCGTCGCGGGCGTCGAGGCCCTGGCGCGGGACGTGCAATGGGTCGAATGCGCCTACTCGAAGGGCGATTCGAGTTTCGCCACCGCGCCCGAGGGCTCGGACGCCGCCGCCAAGAAGAAGTGTCGCAGTCGCGGCCGCGACGGCAGCGCTGGAGGCGCCTGCGGCGATTTGGACGAGTGCACCGCCTCCCGCGGGCAGCGTGAATCCGGCGACGTCATCGCGCCCTCGCCGAGCGGGTCGGCGAGCAGATGAAGCGCGTCGCCGACGTTCTCAAGCAGGTCCGCAAAGCCCGCGAAGAGAGGGCCGTCGCGGGCCGGGGCTCGCGGCAGCTCCTTGACGCGGCCTCTCGGCTCCCCGCCGAGCGGCCGTTCGCTCCTGGGCTGGGGCGCGGCTCGCCGCGGCGCGCGCGCTTCGATTTTTCGCCGCCGTCGTCCGGCGCGAGCAGCCGCGGCAGCCCTGGTTCTCGCTCTCGCCGTCTTGGATTATAGCGCAGTCCACTTGGCTGGAAGTCTCTGCCTGTTCATCCTACCTCTCCTCCGCCTCCTCCTCCTCCTCCTCTTCGTCCTTCTGCGCGGAGCCGCCAGGGGTTTCTGCCCCACCCCTTCCGGGGGCCCTCGGGGGGCGTTTCCCAGGCTTGCGTCAGAGCGATACTCTTGCAGTGTGCGCTCCCAGCTTCGTGGGGGAGAGGGATTGTCCCCGTGACATGTTCCTCCATTCTGCGCGCCGGTCACCCCGTGAGCCCCTGTGACCCCCGTCTCGCGCAAAGTCCGACGCTGGCTTGCGGTCCAGCGGCAGTCAGAGGCCGCGGTCGCCGAGGTGGCATTGGCCCCGAACAGGCTGCGCGGCCCGCGCCCCAAGGGGTCGGCCCGACCAGAATGTGTCTTTTGCCCCGAGAGTGCGTTTGGAACGCATTCGCCGCGCTGTTCATCGTTTGGGAAGGCCCCCGACGACCAGGCCAGTGCCGGGGCCTTGCGAGAGCTCCGCGCCCATCCAGGGTATCCCTCGCAGTGCACTGCCGCGGTATCCATGAGGGGGAGGGCGCGCGCGCCGCGTCGCCCTCCCCCCTGCCGGTTGGTCACGGGCGCAAGTTGTTCAGTTGGGCGGCGCGCTTGGCGACGCCATTGTTGTGGAGTTATGTGCTTTTCGCGCTCGCCTACGTCACGAGTGCTTGCTGATCTTTGCCTCCGCTCTCATCTTCGGCTGTGCGCTCGTCCTCTTCATCTCTTCAAGTTGTCCAAACTGATGTCTCGGGGACAGAGGTGCACGTCTCGCGTCGGGGCGCTCTTCGTGGCCGAGAAATTTGATCTTCGCGGCTCATTCTGGACGGGGGAGCTGCTGGGGTGTTTTTCGGTGACCCTCTGCGCGCTGACCCGGCCACAGGCTCGGCTTTTTCATCGCTGGAGGTCGACGGTGGTGGGCTGGCTTGCGCGGGGGAGACGGGCGCAGAGGACGCGTTTTACGGGATCCAGTTGCCTTGGGACGTCTGAGGGCATGTTCGGCTTCTTCCTCGCATCCGCGCTCGCGCGTTGGGCATCGTCGCCGACTGTCGCGGGGCCTCCGCAGGCCCGGCGACTCCCTGCTCCGCGGCCGCCCCGATGGGATGGAAGCATAACTTGTGGATTTGTCAGCGTGCCATGGAATGCCCGGCTCGCGTTGATACCCTCGCTCTTCCCCGTCTAGCCTTTGACGGCGCTCGTCCGCCCGCGCGTCTCGCTCGTTTTCTCGACCAAGTCTTGCGCGCCGAGTGCGTGGGCAACGCTGTCGCACTTAGCGCGCCCCTGGTTTCGCTAGGCTGGTTGCTGAGTCTGCGGATCGCAGTCCCAGGGGCGCCGGGCTGCGCGCGCACGAGCGACCGCCGCTCCGGGGGGGCGGGGCGTTGGGTCGGCAATCCGACGAGCAGGCCCCCGCCAATGTCATTCGTCACCGCGTCGGGTGGGAGATTCGTCTCGGGTGTTTCGTTCTTGCCAATGTGGATTGCGTCTCTCAGGATCTCATTCGAGTCGTTGCCTCGCACTTCGTGTCTCGGGCACGCGTTCGCAGAGAGTCGTCGCCGCGTCTGCAGGCCTCCTACACTTTCGTCAATCCGGCCGTTCGTGGAACGCGTTTCCTGTGGAGTTCAGTCAGGCGAGAATTTCGGTGGCGCGCATCTCTCATCGCGCTCGCTTTCCGCGACGCGGACGCCGCGTGGCCCCCCTTTGCGCAATGCCTGGGGCGACTGGGGCTGGGATTGCCTGGGGCGACCGGGGCGTCAATGCCGCCCGGGAGGCGGGTCATTTCTCGGAGCGAATGCGGCCCATGAGGCCTTCCTCAAGCCGCGGGGCTCGGTTCTGGAATGCTCGGTCTGCGGCGACGTTGCGCCCCCCCCCCCCCCCCCCCCCGATGACTTCGAGGTCCCGAAGGCCCCGCTCCCGGAGGTCCAGGCATCTATGGCGCCGACTGGCCCTTCGTGCTGGGGTCTTCCCGCCAGGGGGCCCAGGTGGTCCTCGCGGGCCGCTCGCCTGTCGTCGCGGTTAAGAGCATCGTTCGCAGTGCGCGGAGTTCTGGTCGCTGGCACTTCGTCCTGAACGGTTGCGTGGCCCCACTTCTGGCTACGGTGAAAGGGGGTCCTTGTGTCTGGGTGCCCCTCAGTGCAGTCGGCGGATCGCGGCCCTGCTCTCGAGCGCGAGTTGCTATGTTGCTTGGCGGTGGTTCTGTCTGATTCCAACGCGGCCGATTCAGCTTCGAGAGGCAAGGCAGGTGCAGTCCGCTTCAATGCTTCCGCGAACTCAGAGGCAGCATTCGGCCCCGAGGGGCTCTAGGTCCTCCGGAATGGCATCGTCGGGCGCGACCTTGCCGCCGGCTTGGCAGCTGGCTCCGATGGCCTCCAGCCGCCAGCGACGCTACTGCCAGGGCCCGCCGAGCCCCGCCGCGAGCGTGCCCCGCGCGGCCCCTGCGCCTCCGAGGCGAGGGCCGAGAAGGAGGCCCGAAGCTCCCCGCGCATGGCGAGCGCGCCCGTGACATCGGAGAACCTGCCATTCCTCGAGCTCTAGAACGCCACCTCGGTGGCTGCCCATGGCCACCGAGCTCGCGCCCAGGCCTTCAACGCGCGGCGCCGCGCGAAGCGGCTGGCCATCGAGACCGCCGCGCAGGTGGACTCGGCCTTGGTCTGCTACATGCAGGAGAAGTTCCTCGCGGGCGAGCTCGCGCGCGCCCCCGCGAGCTCGCGGCCGGCCCCCTGCTAATTACCTCTGGGCGTTCCCGGACGGGGTGGCCCTCGGGCTGCCTCGGAGCACTCGAGCATTGACGGGGTGGGAGCGCATGGTGCCGCCGCAGAGTCGCCTGCCGCGTCCGCGTGTCGCGCTGCGCCTCCTCGTGGAGATGGTCGCCGCGGGCCAGCTGATGGAGGCCCTCGCCTCGTGGCGGGCGTTCGCTTTCTACCTTCGGCCGAGCGAGCGCCTTCGCTGGAAGGGCAAGCCGACCGCTGCCCCGACGCGCGCCGCGGCCGGGGCGCGGCCCACCTCCTTCCACCCGCTGGGGGGGGGGGGGCGAGACTTCCACGACCGTCGCCGCGGGCGAGGGCCCGGTCGCCAACGGCCCACCTTTTTTCGTGGCCCCCAAGGCGCAGCAGCTCCTGAAGGCGAAGTGCCCCGGCGACGCGCTCGCGTTCAATGTCGGCCCGGGCCGGCGGAGTCGGGCCACGAAGGCTACTGCCGCCCAGAACGGCCTGAGCGCCCTCGGCGACCCCAGGCCCCGCCGCTCGCGTCGCGGCGGAGCGCCCCGCGACCTGCTCTTCAAGACGCAGAGCACCAAGATGCGCGGGCGCTGGGCCAGCGACCAGAGCGCGGCGAGGCACGAGCGCGGCGGCCGCGTCAGCGTTGAGATCTCTCGGTAGAACCCCCCTAAGGGCCCTTAGGGGGGTTCTCAGGACCACAAATTTCACCAGGACAGAGCTCGCAAAGGTCTAGTTGCCGCTGGTATGTGATTTTCCATTTGTTCACAGAGTTCGGAATGCTCGACCCTGCAGCTATTATGTCTGTGTGTAGGTGTGTAGTCGTATCCTGTCGCTCGTGGGGTTCTGCATCGTTTAACGCAGAACGAGTTCCCTGACGTTGCAGGAGCAGGTGCATCACGCATTGAGAATACTTCCGTATGGGATTGCCTGTTGCTTGATTGAGAGGACGCCGCCTTGTCCACTGCGCGGGTTCAAGCTTTTACCTTGTCCCTCCCTCCCCTCGCTGTAAAGCTGGACGAGGCACAGCAGGGAATGTTCTACGCTGCAGCTGTTATGTATGTGTGTGGTCGTCTCCTGTCGCTTGTGGGCTTCAGCTTCAGCATCGACTAACACAGAACGAGTTCTCTGGCGTTGCAGGGGGAACAAACTCATCATGTATCATCATCCTCCTTCTCATTCCTCGCGCTCCTTCCTCCTCAGCATTCCTCGCGCACCTCATCTTCTTAATCATCAGGATGAGGAGGAGCGCGAGGGGGAGCAGCGGCAGGTGGATGGCATGATTGGGGAGAAGATGCACCCCCCCTGGGACAGGCTACCCGCCAGACCGAGCTCACTGATTGCACGGTCGGGAGGGCCATGGCGAGATTGCCCAGGGGTGGTCGGCATCTACCACGTTCCACGTCATCGAAGAGAGCGTCGCGCGCGCCTCAGATGATGCAGCGCCGTTGGCCAGCACATTGATGCCACCATGAACAGTAATCGTCGCGCCCCAGGCCCTCCTCCATAACCGGATCTTCCCCAAGTCAAGATCCCTTTCCCGTCCATTGTATAAATCTCTCTCCCCATCTTTCTGCCATCCACCCATCCCCCATGGTGCTACTCTCGCTTTTCTCTCCCTCCTCCCTCCTATCGTACCTCGTTGTTCCAGTCCTGCCCGTCCTGCCTCCCTCTCCCCCTTTCCTCCCTCTCTTCAGGCGCACAGATTCTTGTGTGCATCGCAACGCCCCGCTGGTGACTTTTCATTGATCAGACAGTAGTGAGGTTGGGCGGTTCACACTCCGCGACCGCGTGCCCATCTCCTCCGCCTTTGGCTCTCCTCCTGTTTCCTCCCTCGTTCCTTCCTTCCCCCCCTCCCCCTCGCCTTGGCGAGTTTTTTTGTTTTTTTCGTTTGCTTGCGCACGCAAGACACATGTTGGGTGAATTCTGTTTCGGTTGAGAAGGAATGCGATGTGCTTGCGGCTGCAAAACTTGGTTTGACTGTTCGGCAGTCAGCCACCGCCCTTTTGTCAATGAGCCTTCAAGCCAAGATTTCTCAGCTAGTTGCCACGTTGTGGAGATGCCGTCCTAACGATCCTGTGGTGTTGGGCCCCCGTTTTGAATCAGCCTTGCCCCGCGTCCTCCTTCATTGTCGCTGCCCTCTCCTCCTGCCTGTGCCCTCCGACTGTCAGTTTCGGCACCACCCTTCACACGCTTCGTGGCCCCATATGGAGCCCAATCGAACGCTCCAGTGCTAACGTTTGCATGCCGTTGTTCAGCATATTTCGGCACACCCCTCACACGATGCGTAGCCCCGCATGGAGCTACACCTAAGGCCCCAGTTGCAACATTTGCATGCCGCCGTCCTGCCCATTGTGGCACACACACACACACACACACGCACGCACGCACGCACGCACGCACGCACACACACACATATACACACACACACACACCTCACACGTTTCGTGACTCCACGGGCGAATCCGCCGAAGTCCCCAGTGGCAAAGTTTGCATGCCGCCACCCCGCCAATTTCGACATACTCCTCTCCTCACACATGCCGTGGCGCGGGTAGTCCAACCGAAGGCCCAACCCATAAAGTTTGCATGCCGTTGCTCCGCCCATGTCGACACACCCCTCACACGTACCGTGGCCCCATAGGGAGCTCCACAGAAGGCCACATTGTCAAAGTTTGCATATCGCCCACCCCCCCGCGAATCCACGCGGCATAAACCTCACACTTTTTTGTTTTTACCTGCTCGAGTGGGCGCCCCGTGGCTGCTAAGGAGAGGAGAGGACAGCAGCAGGGGGGGGGAGGAACAAGACGAGCAGCAGCAGCAGCAGCAGCAGCAGCAGCAGCAGCAGCAGCAGCAGCAGCAGCAGCAAGCAGCAGCAAGCAGCAGCAAGCAGTGCAGCAGGCGCGGCCGACGGCCGACACCTGGCACCCCGGCTTTGCGGGGTGCCGCGCCCAGCGCCCAGCGCCCAGCAGGCCCGCGAGCTCGCAGAGCTCGTCCCCGCCCCGCCGCGCCGTGCGCCTGAGAAGGGCGCGCCACGCGCGCCTGGGACCTCAGGGGGCCGCCCCTCCGGCTGGCGGGGGGACGGCCGCGCCGCCGCCTGGCCAAGCCACGGCGAGCCACGAGCTCGAGCCGCCTGCCCTCAGGCCCAGCCAGCCCGCCCCAGGCGCCGCGCCAACGCCGCCAGCGCCGCGGGCCCGTCCGCGCCGGGTCGCTCTCCGCAGCTGCCGCCGCTGCGCCGCCTCCGCCGCCATCTCTGGGAATGCCCAGAACGCCTCGGCCCTCGCCCCGCGCTCCCGCGCCAGCTCCGCAGCCAGGAGCGCGCAGAGCCGCCGCGTGGCGTCGGCCTCCGCCGCCGCCCCGGGCGCCGGGGAGTCACGCCCGTCGCGACGGCGCCGGCTTGGCGGCGTGCGCGCACGTCGCGGCTGCCCAGCCGCCTGCAGCACCCGCTCGGCGACCCGCCGGCGGCCCCGCGCATCGGGGATCGCCGAGGGGGCCTCCTCGAGCTGGGCACTCGCGTCGCGGAAGCCCAAGCCGCGGATGGTGACGCGCAGCGCTGGCGCCAGCACCCGCGCTGCCGCCCACCCCGAGCAGGCCAAGCCCTCCCGCAGCTCCTGCGCGAAATCTTGGAGATCCCGCCGGTCTCCGCACCGTCGCCCTCCGCCCGCACGGGGGGGCCAGAACCAGCACGTCAGCACGTCCGCCGCGGCGGCGCTGGTGCTCGCGAGGCCGGGCGGCGGCCGCAAACCCGTCGCCCTCCCCCAGGGCCGGGGGCCGCCCCGCCTCCTTTGCGCAAGGGGCGGCGGCTGCACGAGGCGAGCCAGCTGGCGCCCCGCCGACCGCGCAACCGTCGCCCTCGGGGAGGGCCGGGGTCAAGTCGTCCTCCGAGGTCCGCCCAGCAGCGCTCGGCCGGGCGCACGGCGGGGGGCCGGCCATCAGCTTCCAGCAGGGCCCCGCCGCAAGCCGAGCGCTGGCGCGGAGGCGTGGCCACAGCGGACGCGCCATGCGAACCCTCTGGCACCCCATGCTCGAGCCCCAGCGTCGTAGCTGGCCTCGATGCCGATGTCGATGACGCCGGAGGGGCCGCCGCTCCGCAGCTGGACACACCTTCGCTGCCGGAGCCGATGCTCGGGCCTCGGAGGCGCGGAGCAGCCGGCGGCGCCGACATTGCCCCAGGCCCGCCGCAGCCGGGACCACCGTCGCTGCCGCTCATGCCCGGGGCACCTCCCACTGCAGGAGGATCGCCCGTCCTCCCAGACCCAGCCCGCCTGCTGCAGAGCTGCTGCGACGAGCTGCGCGCTGGGGGCCTCCCCAGCCGCCGCGGGGGCCCTGCCGCGCCGGCCGCTGGCGCTGAGGGCGGGGCCGTCGCTGCCGGAGCAGCCGGAACCGTCCACCCTAGGAGCAGCCGGAGCCGTCGCTGCCGGAGCAGCTGGAGGCGCCGCTGGCGGCGGCGCCGGAGCTACCGGATCGATCCCGGCGGCGCCGCTGGCGCCGCTGTCGTTGTAGCCGCTGCTGTAGCCGCTGCTGCCCGCCTCGCTGCTGGGCGGACGGCGTCCGCGGCCCGGCCGAGGCGGCTGCTCCTGCTTGGGTGCTGGAGGCGGTCGCGACGGCGGCGCCGGCCGCGACGGCTGGCGCGGGGCTGTTGCCTTGGACGTCGCCGCAGGAGCAGGGCCCAGGCTGCGACGCGTCCGGCTCCGCGAACGCCGCCCATCGCCACAGCCCGCCGAGCCCGTGCCACGCGCCGGCGCGTGGCCGCCATTGCCGCGGGGCGCATCGCCGCGGCTGCTGCCATGCCTCATCGCCCGGGGAGGGGGGTGAGCCCTGGGGGGCTCCGGTCCCGGGCTCGGGCTGCGCCGGACCGGCGGCGGCCGCCGTAGGCCCCGACGGATACTGCCGCCACGGCGCCTCCCGCGCCGCGCGCTCCGCCAGCTGCGGCCGCCTCCTCCGCCGCTGCGGGCGCAGTGGGTGCCGCAGCTGCCCCGGCCCCGACGCTGGCCCCCGCGAGCCAGACCCCCGGGGCGGGGGGCACTGGCGTCGTGACAGTGACGAGCCGGGCTGGCCCCCACCAGCACGCCCAGGCCCAGCCGTCAGAGAGATTGGGGAAGACGGCTCAGCAGCCTTCCCCATGCATACGTGGCGCGCCCCGCGCGCGCCGCCCCCGGCTCCGCCCGCCGCGCGGGCGCCCGGGCCGCGCAAGCCACCTCGAGCCGAGATGGCTTGAGCCAAAATGGTTACGGACGACATAAAGCATAAACCTCACACACCTCGTTGCTCGATAAGGAGCTCCACCCAAGGCCCCAGTTTGCATGCTGCTGTCCTGTCCATTCGGCTCACCCCTCACACGTTTCGCGGCCCCGCAGGGAGATCCAGCTAACGCGCCACTGACAAAGCTTGCATGTCGCCGCCCCGCCAATTTAGGCACACGTGGCCCCACTGGGGAGCTCAACCGGGCGCCCCAGTAGCAAAGTTTGCATGCCGCCGCCCCGCCCATATTGGCACACCCCTCACAGGTTCCGTGGCCGCACAGGGAGCCCCACGTAAGGCCCCAATGGCAAAGTTTGCATGCCGCCGCCCCGCCCACGTCTGAACACCCCTTACACGTTTCGTAGCCCACACCCGCATCTCGCTGCGCGTGACGTATCATGAGAGGGCCATATCCTGCGCTATTCTCAGCTGCATAGGGTTGGGTGGTTCGCCAGGCTAACTCAATCTGGCGCAAGCAGGGACGCCACAACGATCTTGATCTGCTCGTGTTTGCCAGTGCCACGCAGGCGCATTGCGCCCCATACCAGCGGAGTGTGCAACAACTCCTCGGAAGTGTTGCTCGTCGCTTGCGTTCCCACGTACAGAAATCCTATACGCTTCGCTGCTTCACGTAACCCCAATAGCCCATTCAGAACCGATTGCCACGCGAGTTGCCCTGCTCAGGGATGTGGGGGAGCACGTAGTGGAATGAAGGACTGGGGAAGCCGTAATATCCCACGAGGGGGAGGATGGAGAAGGAATCGGAGGATGAGGAGGAGGGGGAGAGCAGGAAGGAGGAGGGAGGAGGGAGGAGGGAGGAATAGGCGGATGAGGAAGAGCAGGAGGAGGAGGAGGGAGACCTCTTGGATTCCTCTCGGTGCCCCTTCGGATGTGTCTTGATAGCTTCTTGGGTGCCTCTTGGCGCGTCTTGGGGGCCTCTTGGCAGCCGCGGGGGCCTCTTGCAGCGTCTTGGGTGCCTCCGGGGGGCCCTTGGGGCCTTTTGGGGGTCTCTTGGGAGCCTGGTGGGGACCTCTTGGGAGCATCCTGCGCGCCTCTGGGGACCCTCTTGGGACACCCTGGGAGCCTTGGTGGCCATCGTTGGGCCATATTGGAGGAGATCGATCAAAGACGGGGTTGTGCTCAAGTAGCGTCGCCTCCAGGAGGCCCAACTTGGCCCAACACG